AACAAACTACAACCAAATGTGAAACGTAGAATAGACTTATCATCCCTGTTGAGTGGCCTAATTTTACTGAATGTGTGAGACTTTTAAGAGTATTTTTTGGCTTAGAAATCGGAATAAGGGCATATCTTTTGATGTACGAAAGCGCAATCGCTCCTCTCGTCGTCGATGATTCGAAAACAAAAAGGTTCCTTTTTCAAAGACTAAAAGGTTTACTTTTCCTTTTTAGCCTTCTTAAAATGAACAAAAGAGAAAACAAGGCCAGTAGGATAGCAATGTGAATTTGTTATTGAATAAAATCCTAGTAAAGGAATGCAGTACAACAAACTAGTAAAGGAATAAACTAAAATCCTTAAACTAAACACTACGAGCGTCAATGGTTGAATAAAAATTGCCTAATGAGTGGTTGATATTTGTTTGATCTGGGGAGGCTTAATTGACAATTTAACTTAGTGCACCAATAAAGGAATTTCAGTACTGCTGAAAGGATATTTATCATACACATGAGCAAGGCAGTCAATTTGCGTTAGCAATCCATCACTCAGCTTAGTGTTAACATGTCCAACATAATTCTGCACCTAAGATAGACGAATTAGTTTCTAAAGATCCAGCTTCAAGCATTTTAATTTGGGGGAGTGCAGGAGGTAGCAGGTACTCGATAGAATAGTTGAGGTGTGCGCAAACTAGCCCGGGCATTACAATTTAAAAAAGTAAAAAAAAAAGAGAACTTTGGCTGCGGCATCGAGAGAATAAATCATAATCACGAGCTTTAAAAAGTTCATTTCTAATTCAAAGTGAAAATAACAAAATAGAGAAAAAGAGCTTATTTATGAGACTTTCATCTCATGTCTTCCATGATGCACTAGTATTAGTATCCGCATGTTGTGCGAATAATATTATGGTCCTGCTAAATTCTATAAATTAAAAGAATAAATTATATGAATAACTATTGACATAAACTTAAATATTATAACCTCATATATAGCCGGTGACACAAATAAATAAAAATACAATATGATTCAAAAATAAATACTCCTTCCCTTTCAATTTACATAAAATATTTTTTTTTATTAGTCTGTTTCAAAAGAATGACACATTTCTGTATTTGAAAATAATTTAAATTTGAATTTTTTATTTTACCTATTTTAAATATAATGAGAAGTTCTTACACCCATGCAAATATCATGGTCCCACAAAACTATTAGGACCATAAGTTTCAAAAGTTTTCTTTTTCGTTCTTAAATTTCGTGCCAAGTCAAACTATCTCATCTATATAGAAACTGAGTGAAGTCATACTATATAGAGTAATAACAAATAAATATACATTTAGTAATATCTTAATTTAAATTATAAAAATATATTATATTATTATCTTGACTATCATATATTCAAAAAAAATTCAGAATTAAATTGAATAGATGTATCTAGGGAGAATTCGCTTTGAAGAAACTATTCCCTAGATACACATGTCGTGTTATTTCACAATTGAATCAATTTAAAAATTTAAAAAAGACCTAAAGTTAGGGATTTATCAATAGGTAATGTTGCACCAATGCCCAACCAAAGGGCGGCTGCGGTACCAATCAAAAAGACAGTCGTCGCTACTGGACGGCGAAATGGATTTTGGAATTTATTAACATTCTCTAAAAAAGGTACTGTTAATAATCCCACAGGTACTGAAACCATTAAAAGAACCCCCAATAATTTATTGGGCACTGTACGAAGTATTTGAAATACAGGAAAGAAATACCATTCAGGTAATATTTCCAAAGGGGTTGCAAATGGATCTGCCGGTTCACCAATCATTGATGGTTCTAAAACGGCTAAGCCTACATTACATGCAATAGTACCTAGAATTACTACTGGAAAAATATATAAAAGATCATTGGGCCATGCGGGCTCTCCATAATAATTATGACCCATACCTTTAGCCAATTTAGCTCTTAATACAGGATCATTCAAGTCAGGTTTTTTTGTTATTGGGATAGGTGAATTCTTATAGATCCATCCCCCGAGGGAACTGGACATGATAATTTTTAATCATCCAGCTCGAGCAAGAATAAAAAGAACCAAATGAATCCATATATCCATATAAAATATATATATGGTACCTGTATTTACACATACACATATATGATATAGGAATGGTTCAATGTAAGAAAAATTTGACTGAATTCTTTTTTACGGAGTTGCAATTATCCATTACAAAACAAAGAATTCCGTTCTTACAAGTAAATACTCAAGACCCAAGTAGGCTTACAAATCAGATCATGATATGATCAAGTGCTTTCTGGGTCGTCTCAGACCTTCTAATTGGTATTTATCTCCAAAATATTTGGAGATACACATAAAAGGTTTGCTTGTTACTAATATAGTCTAGCCTCTCTTCTTCTTTAGATCCCTTGTTTCACTCCGATAGTAGTATTGATCGTGTCAATGCAGAGGAAATGAATACATTTACATACTATTTAATCTTATAAGTGAACTAGATAAAACGGAATCTTGATTCCGTTTTATCTAGTTCACTTATACTGGATCTTACGGAGCCTGCTCATGTACAACATGATTCGGACCTGATCATAGAAAAGATTCTCTTTAAGCGAACCAGCCTATCCTCTGTATAGGGCTTACACGGCGATTGGAACAAAGACACATTTGGTTGTGAATTCCCATGTGGCAGGCATATATCTACACAGACCAATCAATAGTTCAAGTCACACACTCCCATAATCCATTTTCTCTTCACAAAATTCCCTTCAATCCCCCCGTTTAGTTGACATGAATAGTTAAAGGGAAATATCCAAATCCATGTCTTATTATTTTCAATAATCCATACTTGTAGCAATGAAATACTATATATTCCTCCACCAAGTGATANNCCTTGAGCCTAACATTCATTTGAATTATGCCCAACCTAATGCAATCACAAACAGAATTTGGCTTTCCATTCATACTCGATTTGCTGAACTATTACTCCCCTCTGAGTTTTCATTTCAAAACAGTGTGGTAGTGGTTGTGAAATATCAGTTTCCACCAACACTCTTGCATAAGACACCTTCTCCATTTCAGCAATGATCATATCCGTGTATAGAGGCTTCCCAACAACACTAGCAAGTTTACTAAGTGCTTCAGTAGACCAAAACCCCAGAGGTAGGCCTGAAAATTTGATCCACGGAGGTATCACACTCACACTCCCTGGGTCAAATTTGAAATCCATTCTCCATTGTTGTAGAACAAAAGGCTTATTATGATATGTATAAGGTCCAGCTTGAAGTATTAGGTCCCTATCTTCGATATTTTGAAATCTAAAGACATAGTATCCATCCTCATGATACAGAATTTGAAGCTTTTCAACAAAGTTCCACACATTTGTAACATAGTTGTCCATTGCTTTCTCATAAGGATTATCACCTAACACAAACCCAATTAAAGTTGTACTCCAATAGATTTCCTGTTCCTTCGTGTCTTCATCTTCAATTTGCACAACAAAGGTACCATCCCTCACAGCAGGAGGTACATAGCTTAAAGCCTTCCCCACTTGGGAACTTCGATTCTTCTGGAGGTGTCATATTTTGGCAAATCTGCATTGACTTACCGTTTGTTGAAAACTGCAATCGTCGATGGACTAACGATGCATCCATTGTTTCCTTCGGCACAGATTGTTCTTCATCTTCTTCAATTTCTCCCTAATTGGCTGGAATTTTTGTGGCAAAAAACTACCAAACGTTACCGGCAATAATCTCTGTTGAATTTCTGTGTCCGGCGTCACAGTCATTCCATCAACTTCCCCACCCTTATCTGGTTTATGAAATACTGTAGGCGCACTTCCCATCCCTGTTAACCAGCGACTAGGTTGAGTTTGAGCAGGTGTTTCCACATTTCCTTCAACTTCCTTAGCTTCCGACGGAGATGGAAGCTTCCTTTTGTGTCTAGCCATGGCTGAAGCGCAAGTTAGCTAATCTCGCTTAACATGCGCCTGCAGTTCTAAACNTTTGACAATCTCCCACAAACTCTTTAAGATTGCCAAGTGGCTTTATAGTAGCTTGCCACTTGGCTTAACCACAATGCAAACTTTCTTGCTTTAACATATATATAGATATATTCTTCTCACTCGATATTAGAAAAGGAATCCAAATACTATTGATATCAAAATTCTTTACTTTCCAAATAAAAAATTTCAGTTAGAAAATATTAGTAGTGATTGAACTTTATTTTTTAAAAAAGAATTCTTATTTCAATTAATTTCAATAAATGAAATTCCATATATAGTTCTTAAGTGATATTTCCTTATTTGACAATCTCCCACAAACTCTTTAAGATTGCCAAGTGGCTTTATAGTAGCTTGCCACTTGGCTTAACCACAATGCAAACTTTCTTGCTTTAATATATATATAGATGATTAGTTTTTGTCCATGCTATAATTATAAGTTTTCGATTAGTATTTTGGTCCAGAAAATATAAAACTTCTTCAGCTTTTACTCTTAAAAGAAAAGTTACTTTTTTCAGCTCGAGAAATAGCTCGAAAAAACTTTATTTTTTTTCTTAAGCTTTCATCAAATATCTTTCACTGTTATAAAATAAAAGCAATGCAGTAAAATATAAATAAGAAACAGAGATTAAAAAGGAGTATTTCACTTCTTTTTTTTTGGTGTCTTTACCCATCAGAATAGAAGGCTATTTATAAGCCTAAAAGGTAAACTTTCACTCCATCAAATAGTGAGAGGAATGTGAATACTCAACATCAAATAATAAGAAAAATGAGTGTCCATAGCAGCATGGGCATCCACTTCTTAAATTATTCACAACACCTCCCCTGGACGTCCATGTAAAATAAATATGCTTTACTAAGAATTTTGCTAGAAAAGAGTACATATTTATATCATTATATGTAATACGCATTACTTGTTGCCTCGTTAAAAACCTTAACAGGAAGACCCAGTGGGACAAAATCTTGCTTAAGGAAAAAAGAGTGCAGCGCGTAGTTACTTCCCCTGATGAAAACATCACTTAATGTCTCGAAGACGACGCATTCCAATCTTGTATATCAGCTTCTCAAATGTTGAGGTTGGTAATGCCTTAGTGAACGGATCCGCCAAATTATCACTTGAACGAACTTGTTGAACGTCTATTTCACCATTCTTTTGAAGATCATGAGTGAAAAAGAATATTGGTGAAATGTGTTTTATTCTATCTCCTTTGATGTATCCTCCTTTCAGTTGAGCTATGCATGCAATATTGTCTTCATACAATGTTGTTAGAATATTGCCTTTTGAAGAGAGGTCGCATGCAACCTGAATGTGTTGAATATCGGTCTCAACAAAACACATTCTCGATCTGCTTCGTGAATGGCTATTATCTCTGCATGATTTGATGAAGTAGCAACCATAGTTTGTTTCGTTGAACGCCATGATATGGCTGTATCTCCACTTGTAAATAAATAGCCTGTCTGAGATCGACCTTTATGTGGACCATACGACATGATTGTTTCAATCCGTATAAGAATTTCTGAAGCTTTATTGAATAAGTTTCACAAAAACTTTTATATGCTTTAGGAACTTTAAATCCCTCAGGTATTTTCATAAAAATTTCGTTGTCTAATGATCCAAACAAATAGGTTGTGACAACATCCATTAGACGCATATCAAGTTTTTCATACACTGCCATATTTATGAGATATCTGAAGGTGATAGCATCCACTATAGGAGAATATGTCTCTATATAATCAATGGCAGGCCTTTGCGAAAATCCTTGTTCCACAAGTCGCGCTTTATATCTAACGTCTTCATTTTTGTCATTTTATTTTCGCACAAAAACCTATTTGTACCCTACTGGCTTTATACATTCAGGTGTTCGAACTATGGGTCCGAAGACTTCACATTTTTCGAGTGAAGTTAATTCTGCCTGGATAACTTCTTTCCATTTTGGCCAATCATTTCTCTATCTACATTCATCGACAGATTTTGGTTCAAGATCCTAATCTTCTTGCATTATTTCAACAACAACATTATACGCAAAAATATTATCAACAACAATATCATTTTGGTTCCACCCTTTTTCCGTAGAGATATAACTTATTAAGATCTCTTCATTCTCATTATTTTCAGGTGCCTGGACCTCCCCTGAGATCTTATCATTTGTTATATCTCGGGCTCCTTTTGAGCCACTACCTCTATATTATGATCACCTTGATCATTTGCTCCTTTCCTCCTTCGAGGATTTTTATCTTTAGAACCAATTGGTATACCACGTTTCTAGCATGGCTTAGACTCATTTGCATTAATTGATTGTCCTATCGGGACATCAATTCAAATTGTAGCATTAGCAGCTGGGATATGTGACGTAGTCACCCTTGGTAGGTTAGTGAATGCATCTGGCAGTTGGTTTGCAATATTTTTCATATAAATTATCTTTTGAACCTCTTGTTCACATTGATTTGTTCGAGGATCCAAATGAGATAATGATAATGCATTCCAATCTATCTCCTTTTTTAGTTCCTTATTTTCTCCCCCTAATGGCAGTGTAGTAATGATAGCAATAAAATGTGACGACCCGACCCGTCGTCACGTGAGTTACCGCCCCGTTTTTCCCATGTTATGCTTCTTTAAGTTTCATTATCAGTATTTGATGTGTTAGAGTTGGTTTGGAACGGTTTTGATAAGAAATGAGACACTTAGTCTCTTTTAAGAAGGCTTAAGTTGGAAAAGTCAACCGGATGTTGACTTTTGTGTTAAAGGGCTCGGATTTGAATTCCGATGATTTGGTTAGCTTCGGGGGATGAATTGTGACTTAGGAGTGCGATCGGAATTGATTTTGGAGGTTCGGTGTAGAATTAGGCTTGAATTGGCAAAGTTAGTATTTTGGCGAATTCCGGTTGGTAGGTGAAATTTTGATCCGGGGGTCGGAATGAGATTCCGAGAGTTGCAGTAGCTTTGTTAGGTGATCTTGGATGTGTGTGCAAAATTTCAGGTCATTCGGACGTGTTTTGATTGGGTTTCTGATCGAATGCGTGTTTCGAAAGTTTTAGAAGAACTTAGGCTTGAATTCGATGAGAAATGATGGTTTTAGTGTTGTTTGAGGTGTTTTAATGATTGGAGCAAGTTTGAATAAGGTATTGGATCATGCTTGTATTTTTGGTTGAGGTCCCAAGGGCCTCGGGGTGATTTCGGATGGCTAACGGGAAGTTTTGAACTTAAGAGATTGGAGAACCTGTGCTGCTTCTGGTATTTTCGCTTCTGCGGAATTGGGACCGCAGAAGCGGTACCGCAGAAGCGAGAGGAGAGACGCAGAAGCGGCAGGGACCGCAGGTGCGGAATTGGTGACCGCATCTGCGGAGTCGCAGATGCGACAGGAGGACCGCAGATGCGGTATTTGAGCTCTTATGGGGATCCGCAGATGCGTTAATTTGTCTGCAGAAGCGGAAGGCGCAGGAGCGGATATTAAACCGCAGAAGAGAATATGTCCGCAGAAGCAGTGCATTGACCGCAAAAGCGGGAGCCGCAGATGCGGAAATAACTGGTCAGAATAGTTTTTATTTCCCTTCGCGAATTTTTGAAAGGGTTTCATATTTTCACTTCGGACTTGGAGAATTTGGGCGAGTTGGAGGAGAGGAATCAAGGGACTTCATTGAGGTAAGAATTTCTAACCCAAAAAAACACGATTTTATGGTGCAAACACATGAAATTAGATTGAAAACTCAAGGAATTAGGGTCAAAAATGGTGGTTTAGGGCTTGAAACCTAAGAGAACAAAAATGGGAATTTGAGGGGTCATTTGGACTCCGATTTTGGTGTTCTTTATATGTATAGACTCGCGGCGAGACGAGGAATCCGGTGATGTGAATTTTATAATTTTTCGAGAAGTGGGCCCGGGGCTCGGGTTTTGCCAACTTCGTGATTTTCGATGTTTTTCGAGTCTTTTCAATTGGGTTGTATTCCCTTAGCATATTGTGACGTATTCGTTGTGGTTTTGGTCAAATTCGACGCGCGAAGAGGTGAATTCGAAAGGCAAGGGCATAGCAAGCTAGGACTCTGGCCGGCTTGAGGTTAGTAATAAATGTAAATGCTGTGTTGAGGGTTTGAAACCCCGAATTCGCACATCGTAGTGCTATGTGAGGTGACTTGCACGCCGGATAACGGGCGTGGGGTAGAGCACCGCCAGGGACTCTGACTTGGTCCGTCCCGCTTAATAAAATTGGTACCTATTTGATTGTAGATTTGTAATATCCTTATAAAAATGGATTAATTGTCATAATTGGGCTTCGTGCCAGCTACTTGAATCCTTCAGGGATTATTTTAATGGTTTCCTACCATATTTATAAATATTAAACTCAGTCCTGGTATTTAATACTGTATTTGAAATCTCAGCCATTTTCTTAAATTAGAAATTAAGTTAATATTTTAAATGATGTTTGGGCTGAATATTTTTATACTATTGCGTGATTTTTTTTGGACTGAGTATGGGATCGGGCTGCACGCCGCAGCAGTATTATAATGATATTGATATGAGGCCAAGGGCCTGTTTGATGCCACGAGATGGCTTATTATTGCGCTTGGGCCGTAAGGGGCCCCTCCCGGAGTCTGCACACCCCCAGTGAGCGCCGTCGACGTTAAATAAATGGAGCGGGCTGCACGGCCGCAGCGGGGTACTGGAGGTACCGGTTTATGTGTTGCATTGCATATTTACTTGTTATTTATTCTCCTTCTGGTGTGACTTTATTATAACCGTTTTATGTTTACTGTATTATGCTATTGGTCCACGTTGTTGTATTTATAGCTTTACTCTGTGTTTATTTAGGATTTCTGATCCTTAGAATTTATTTATATTTATTACTTTCTGAGTTGGAAGTACTCACAATACTCCCTGCACCTTGTGTGCAGATTCAG